CTTGGATCTTCTGCAACCAGTTAAATTTATTTTGTCTCAGGTAAGGACCAAACATACAGTCGGCATGCCTATTTTGGTTGCATGTAACCGCCAAAAACCATGAAAAGACGTACAGTATTAAATATGCGGCGTCTCCTATGTGACAGCTGACAGCATCTCGTATGTGGATCGAAGAATGGGATAAACAAGCTCGCATCACGGTAGACGTATCCCAGCGGGAATCTTCCAATTACGTGCCTTGGAACAGCAGAGCGGAGTCGACTGACGAATTTCTCGCAATTAGTCAAAATCGGGTTGGCGCTGTCTCCTTTACAACCTCCGCGGGATCCTCCACATTTCCTACTAACGCTTCTTGTATGGTACGGTTCATGTAGAAAAATGCACGAAGTTTACTCCAAGTTGGGTGAATGACTGAGCATAAATTCTCATACATATTTCACGAATACTTTTAAAATCTGTAAGCCCTACTATTCAAATCCATTGTGGAGTAAAACATAATAAATATGTTCACGAGATCTCTTAGCAACAAATAAACGCGGCGGCTCTAATTAGCGAATTTAGTATGTAGGGAAATAATATTTGTAACTTTAAGAGGTGATTCCGTGCATTACTCTAAGCACAAAGGTTCATTGTAACCCATGTCCGATAATCAATCGTTTTCGAGGGAAGCGAGTCGTAAATGATTAAATTTTTCCAAACATTCGGCAATGCTCGAACGCCACGGCGATACGAGCGCACGACGACCGCAACTAATTCATAGAATTGTTTACGTTAGTATGATATTTTTGTTGAAAATATGCCTTGAATTATTGAATACGACGTTGCCAGCTGTGTGAGGGATTTTGATTGTTTGTTTTTCTTCGGAAAATTGTATTTAATAAGCAAGAAAATTATTTTGTTAGAAGCAGTTAATTAATAACGTAAATAGATGTGTTGATACATTTTACGCTATTAGGCATATGAATTTAAATTATTGAGGTGTAAAATTAATTTATTTCCTGACTAAAAAGAAATAAGTTCAGTATTTTTTTGCTCCAAACCGGTTGATTTTCGGATAGGTTATGATGAACTTTTTTGCTTAGAATAATTTATTTTTCGAGAGAACTCTCGACGTTTTTCAGCTTGCTGGCGACTTTAGCGGTCGAACAAACATATTAGCAGACAACAAATCTTGATATAGGCAGTCCTCTGATTTCGGTCATGAGACGTGGATTTCGCGTGACTAGAATCTTAATCGTTGGAAGTACCGAGTCAATCTAGTTGACTCCATTTTTTGCCTGCTTTTATGTTCCAATGTGGTGCATCACCATTGAACGGCATATTTTGATATTGATTTCAAAGAAGTGTTTCTAAAAAAAGTGTCCAATCGTTTTAGTTCGGAAGAGATGAACTAACTAATGTAACTTCAGAAACTCATCCTTCGATTTTCACGTTGATAGGACTCCGTTGTCTAGCCGAATTAAAGCAAAAAATCTTTTAAGTTCTCTTTATTCTACGACGTTTCGATCTCCACGGTGGCCTCTTTCAAGTGCAACGACAATTATTGACACTGTATTTTTGTTTACATGTCTTCTAGGTTCATTAATTTTCTTCATCTTCTTCGATCCCATACAGTATGTTGCGACAATATGTTCAAGATGTCACCGATGTGTGTTTCATTGATTCCGAAGTAATGCCATTTTTTTTCGTTCTCTGTCAGGCTACCTCTATAAAAAGAAATGTTAAAATGACACGCAGATTCAGGCTTTTCATTTTCTCTGTCTTTCTGAGCTGCCTTAAGGCGAGAATACACGCATAGAAGCATGCCAGTCACGCTGCCAGTTAGAAAGCATGATAGGAGATAGTATGCCAGTAGATCGCATGCCAATTGATTTTTGTGTCCCAGTAGATGAATTTCGTCGTGTGAGTGGAGGAGGAGAAGCCTGCAATTCGTGTCGAAACATGTGTGAACGACGTCGTGGCCAGAAGCTCGCATGTGACAAACGGCTAGTCCTCAAATATATTTTTTAAAATCGTGGAAAGATGGCCCGACGGGGAAATGAAAAGACTATTGTTTGTTATACAGTATAGGGAGTATTAATGTCTGTGGGATACGTCAACTCCACTGTATAAAAATAAAACCACTAGAGACAGCGCTTATAAATCTTTATTGGAGCATATCAATGATGATAACATTGATATGTATCAAAAATAAAATAAAAAACCTAAGAAAAACTTATCACCAAGAGTTAAAGAAGATAAAGGAATTTACGCACTCAGGTGCAAGGTCGTCAGATCTTTACGAACCTACAATTCCCTGGTGTGAAGAGATGCATTCGTTTTTCGGCGATTCAACACAACATAGGGAACCGGGAACCATCCGACGACACAGTCTGGGATATCCAAGACTTGCATGTGTATTCCAACAACTCGAAGGGCATGCAAGTTACTGGCCACTAGCACGCTATTTTACTGCCATGCGTATTCCCGCCTTTACACTGGTATGCATAGACGTTCTCCGGTGATGCGCCAGCGGTCCGCCGTTCTACGAGTACAAATGATTATTTCAGTACGGAAACCATCGCCGGATGATCGGCGGTTCACCAGGAGACCATGCATCGGAATCATCCGTAAAGCGGCCTACAAACCTTGATGTATGCTGCGATGCATTATGTTTCATGACGCAAGTAGCAGTGTGTGTAGCACTGAACGTCGTATTTGGCATCAGTTGTGGCTTGCAGCGATGCAGAATCTGGAATCCCACTTTGATCGGCGAGCTACGACGTCATGTCGGTGATGCTGATGCAAGTTTCACCGTGTATAGAATTGCGTCGATGCCTAGACGATGCTTAGTTTCCCGCGTCATTTTACAGGTCCGTTTGTTGTTTGTCTACGTGTGCATAAATTCCATGATGGAAAGTGATCGACAATTTTGGGAAGTTGTACTTTTAGCTCTTCCAATAAATTTTCATTTGCATAACGTCTTCTTTCCTTGACCATATCTTGAACTATTCCTTTCTTCAATTCCTTTTTCTTTTATGGAGTATTTAGTGTCCCAACTATTGCTATTAAAACTGGTGTTGGCAAAACGTACCTCATTCTAGTCGTCAAGCAAATAATAACGCACTAAGTAGGAGGGATGTCTTTTAAGTTTTGCATATAGAAACATAGTAGGCCGCGCGGATCGAACGTCAGTATTGAATCTTAAGCTCACTCTTTAGTAAACTTAAATTCAAAGTTTCACAACAATACGTGCAGTGTTCTCACAACAGCGAATTTTTAAATGTCACCAAGTCATTAGAAAAATGGAACTCAACCGAGAACATTTTCGCGCCATAATTTATTACAATTTTCAGATACGATTATCGCAACAAGAATGCCTTCCTGACTTCCTGTCTGTTTTCGGCAACGAAGCATCACATCAGTCGACAATTTCCCGTTGGTATGAAGAATTCAAACGTGGACGGGTGAGTCTTACGACGCTCCCAGGGTGGGTGCACCAAAAACGGCAGTCACTCAGGAAAACGTCGATGCTGTGCGCAAAATCATCATTGAAGATAGACATGTGACATGTGAGATTGAGGCGTCCTTGAAGATCCCAAAGACCTCAATTCCAAAAATTTTACATGAAGAATTAGGAGTAAGAAAATTAGTTTCTCGTTGGATACCCCACCTGTTGACTGACGAGCAGAAAGCAGCCTGTGTTAATTGGTGTCAAAAAATGCTTGACCGTTTCAATTCCGGAAACTCAAAAAATGTGTACAGCATTGTTGGTGGCGATGAATCGTGGATTTACTGTTATGAACCAGAAAATAAACGACAGTCGGCTGTTTGGGTGTTCCAAGGTGAAGAAAAGCCAACAAAAGTCCGTTCTCGAAGTGTTTCGAAAAAGATGGTGGTGACATTTGTGTCAAAAGCGGGTCATAAAAAATCAACCCCGAAGAAAGAATCATCCTCCACCAAGACAATGCAAGCTCGCACACAGCCCAAAAAACAAGGCAGTATTTAACGGAAGAAAACGGGGAATTATTGGACCATCCTCCATATAGTCCCGATCTAAGTCCTAACTATTTCTTTGCTTTCCCGAAAATTAAAAACAAACTGCGTGGTCAAAGGTTGCAGTCACCAGAAAATTGGTTGGAGCGCAGGCAGACGTGTATTAATCTTCGTGGAGAATACTTCGAAAGACAATAAAGTCATCTAAAACTACCTACCGTCTTGTTTTATTTCCATAAGCAAAACTTAAAGATATCCCTCGTATTTTTAAAAATGCCTTCACCCCTATTGTTCGTGCGTTGCACGAAGCATCAAGTCGATTCAGGCATCGCAGCAGGTTTCGCTTTGAGTAGGCGCTTATGCAGCTGATGCAAGTTTCACGAAACGTTGAGGCGATTCAGGCATCGCATCATACAGAAAGGTGTATAGGCCGCTTTAGAGAACGGCGAACTGCCGGCTGTGCATACAGTGTTACATTGCCTTATGCAATAAGCCTACGTACGCCCAGATTGACCGTACTAATAGAAACTGGAACTGGAAAATCCCCAGTGCGGTGTGGTTAAGGCCCTTAGCAATCGTTTAGCTCAGATATATAGATTAGGTTAAGAGACTACACAATTCTCAAATTTACTGTGGCTCCTATGAGACGTATTGTAGCACATGCTCTCTGTGGTAGAATTCATTAGAGCGTTGCGCGGTATTTGGCTTTGTTCCTTTGACGAGCGCGTTTAGCGCTTCAAGTCATTTTGCGTCTATACCGTTTGATTGCAGGCCTCTATTCGAAAGTGCTGGGGCTAGAGATGCCGAAAACGTCTAAGAAGAAGGGAACATAATTTGAATTCTGTGGTTAACTGCATGCAACCGACATACAAGAAAATTGATCAATAGATTATCTACGAAACATCAATACTGGTTTGTTAGCAGTTCAGTCCTTCGTCGTCAAAACAATTGGGCTTTAGACTGTGCGCGAAGCACCCCAATTCATTAATGTGATTGTGCAGCACACGAGAGTATGTGTTGATAAGATGACAGATAGTCTCTACCCAAGTGTGAGCAAATATAGGGTACTCCAAGAGGATCCAAAGTGTACAGGCAAATTAGGAAGAATTGAGGTAATCCATCGAGATTTCATGTCTCAGTGAGGGAGGGTTCAAGGCAATTCGAATAGAAGCTGTATTTTCAGGAGCAATGCCTTGATCCAGTAGGTTTCTGTGCCCGACAACCACTGAGTAATTTTCGTTTTCGACTACTGTGCTGTATCAAAGCGAGTAGTGGCATGTTCTCAAATCAGCAGAAGCTTAAATAGATGAGTTTATTGCTATACAGGGTGTTTAAGAACTAAGGGATCAGACTTATACTGCCGTGCTTAGCGGTAACACCGCATCTACAAAAAATAAAACATGGAGGAAAACATGTTTTTTCTTTTTTTCAGAGCCATAAGAGAGTTCAAATACTTTCGCTGCCTTCTATTGTCATAACCAAGTATATTCAATTGAGTCACAGGTAGCTTGAGATTAATGCGGTACTGCGTTTTTGCTAAGTGTTTCTGCTAATTACTTTCCAATAATTTGTGTCAGATAGAATTATAGTCTCGATATATTTAAAAACAGACTTTTTATTTTGATTCTCTTACAAAGTAAAAATAAAAATACAAATATTCATAATGATATGCGCTAAATACCAAAGAGCAACACTAACTAGAATCAGTTCTAGCAGGTATATTTCGCCAAAAATCTTTTCTGTTTTCAGGCATTATTGTATTTAACACTTTTAAAATGTGTTCCTTTTTTTCTGAAGGAAAACCGCGAGGCTTATGTAACGGCTCCGGCAATTTCATACCATTGGGCTTGGTTGCTTTAAACTGTAGAAAATATAAACAATTATTCGGTTCCCATTCCGAATGTGAGGTTTTGAAAAGAAGATAATATTGCCCTCTGCGAGCGGTAATCTGAACAATGTCTTTGAGATAAATTCGATTCATTTGTTTCTTTAATTTTTGTTGCGAAACGAAAGATTTGAAAGAATAGAAATCTGAAAAAGACATGTTTTTGATTTCTACTGCTCCCTTATTTGCTTGGGATACAGCATTAACAAAATCTGGAAAATCATAAGTTTTTGCTTGTTCCTTTAAGGACAGCTCCACTTGATGATGAAAATGGTCTGCTGACATATATGTATGTCCTGGTTCAAAATAATTAATGACAATTTCTTCAGCACTTATTTCACTTGAATTTGTAATGAAAACAAGAAAAACTTAATAAGCACCAATTTTTGTTTTGGCTTGAGCAGTTATCAAGCCAAGCAGTGATTTTTTCTAAGCCTTTTTGTTTTTTAAAAAATGCATAAAATGCACTTGTAACATCTTCTTGGTCTCTTCCGCTTATACCTTCATGCCAAAACAAGCAACTGACCACGTTTTTAATGCATCATCATAATAATTAATAACGGACAAGACACGACTTGTACTTGGGAGGAACGCGGCAATTCACATGTACTTAGCAAACACGCAGGATCTGACCGGAAGATGTTGCATTTATGCTAAATAATGTTAGATACGGCGGTTTTTAATGAGCATGCAAACAAATTTTTGTTAGTTACTGCAAAATAGTTATGTTGTTTTACGGTTATGATGCTTCAACGGCATTTTTACTAAGTTCTACATATAGAAAACGTGAATTCAAGCAAGAATATGTAAAAAACTCATTTTTCAATTTTTTTGTATATACGGCGTTTCTGCTAAGCGCGGCAGTATAGGGGTTATTCAGTGTAACAGTAGAAAACATTTGAGTATAGAAACCCATATCCGGAGAAGTGTCACTACAAGACTTTACATGTCCCCACAGGAAAAAATCTAGCGAAGTTAAATCGAGTGACCTAGGAGGCCAAGAAACTGCTTCTCCTCTGGCAGTCCAACGATGCCCAAACCGCTGAGCCAAATACTCACGTAGCTGTAGAGCAAGGTGAGCTGACGCTCTATCATGCTGAAACCACATTTGCCGTCGAACGTTCAATGGCCCAATCAAATAATCATCAACAATGCCTGCCCATACGTTGACAGACCAACGTTGCTGATGTTTTCCCAAACGTGGATATTCCTGCTATTAAAAATACCGTCTCTTGCGAAACAGGCTTCGTCGGTCGATAAAACATAGCGTAAAAAATTGGCTTGTGCAGCGATTTGATGAAGAATCCATTGACAAAATTGAACTCTAGGATGATAATAGGCTGCAATCCTTGAACTTTCTGGAACTGGTAAGGATAAAGTTGTTGCGTGTGTAGCACCCGCCAGATGGAAGCGTTACTCGTATTCATATCCTCAGCAATGTGACGTGTGGTAGTTGATGGGCCGTCGGCAACTCGCTGAAGGACCTCTTCTTCAAATTCTACCGTTCTTACGGTTCGAGCAGTATCATGCATGTTGGTTTTAAACAGGCCTGTCTCGGAGAGCCGCCGATGAATAGCAATAAACTTTTTGTATCCCGGATGCTGTCGTTCGGGATAACGTTCTTGATACAACCGCGCTGCTGCTCGTGCATTGCAGCTTGTTGCTCCGTATGCCAAATGCATATCCGCCATTTCTTGATTGGTAAGGTTTTCCATTAGCAAAATTTATTTTTTGTTAGATTCTTACAAACTTTACAAATACGATAGCACGACTAAGGCGATATGGAATGCAGCTACAAAAAACAATATCTGTTATCGTTTTTAAAGATAACAACACACAAGGACCGGATATGGGTCCCCAAACTCAAATGTTTTCTACTGTTACACTGAATAACCCCTACAAGTTTGATCCCATCGTTATAACCCCTGTTATAACTACAGCAAAGGTTAAATGGGGGAAGTTTTAGAGGACACTTAGTGCAATCCATAGCTGGGTTCAGGTTTACGATCGGTCAATTAGTTTTCTAAATATTGGTGAAAAACCGAAAAGGTTTTTTTCCAGTGAATCCTAAACGGTTAACTTGAAAACTCTCAAAATGTGACACTCTTTTAAGGCAAATAAGATAGCGTGTATGACATTTCTTAATCGTCTTTTCTTTTCCCGCAACCTGCCTCAGTTTTCAATTTTCTTATGACCGCCATACTGGGTTTTTCGATTTTCGAAAAGTGCGATTTCCAGCCCAGTGATTTCTCACAAGTGCATTAAAGATTGAAGTATCTTCCAAATATCATCACACGTAATGTCCATCAATTTTTTTCTAAGGAGGCCATAATTTGTTTGGCAGAAAATAAAATCAATAAGTAACGCATTTTTTTCATCTAAGGAGGCTCTGACTTCGACGTTAAATAGTTCAAAGTTTCAAAATTGTGTTTTAATAAGTTGTAGGTACGTTTGCTCCCACTAAAATCATAAATCTGACAAAAAAATATATCAAAACCTGTTGAAAATCACCGGAATTCGCTACTCAAATGAAGAAAAGTTTGACAGCACGGTACTTGCAGATGTAGCTCGAACGATGGCAGCCTCATAAAACGCAATTTAGAAAAATAGTAGTTAATTTAATAAATCATGGGGCCTTCGAACAACCTAGAAGCGGATACAATACTAATAATGAAAATTGCGACAGAAACATTTTACAAGCGAATCAATAAAGTCTATAGAAGGAGAAATTGGTGTGTCCAAATCAACAATACAGAGAGTGCTAAATAAGTATAAGTACCATCCATTCAAACCTACAGCAGTTCAAGGACTTGAGGAAACTGATCTTCCAAGGCGAATGCGCTTCTGTGGGTGGTATACTAGGAAGTCTAATGAAAATCCCGATTTTGTGAATCATGTCTTGTGGTCCGATGAGAGTAGGTTTACGAACTGTGGAGTTTTTAATAAGCACAACACTCATCATTGGGCTGTGGAAAACCCTCACCAAGTGGCAGAGAGACGCCTGCAGTCCAGATTTGGAACTAACGTTTGGTGTGGAGTCATTGGTGAGTTAATCCAACTTACGCTTTTTAATTTGAAACTAGGTATTAATCGTTTCAGGATATCGACTTATATGACAATTGTTGTTTGACTACAACCTAAAGGGACACAGGTACCTAGATCTTTTGCGATATCAGGTTGTGCCGGCTTTACGAGCTAGTGTAATCAAAGATAAGTTTAGAAGAACCCGGTTTCAACAGGCTGGATGTCCGGCACACAATAAATACCATTCAAGTCAGGAACTTCTTATGAGAGCAGTTTGACGAAAGAATAATTTCATTGAACGGTTCAATATCTTGGCCTCCTAGATCCCTGACCTTTCATCCTTGGATCTCTTCCTCTGGGGTCACACAAAGAGTGAGATCTATGAATTTGATTCTTCCGCAACCATAGAAATCCTGAGATGAAGAATTTTGAGCACAGTTAGAAACAATTACAGAAATACACTAGCTAAGGTTGCACGAAAAACAGTCAGCAATTGTCAAACATGTTTGGATGCAAATTAACTTTATTTTGCAAATCTGTAAGTTGATACCCACTTACATAGTTAGATTTTACAGTATAATTTTGTAAAATGTTTGTTTGTTCAAGTATAAAGTTAATTTAGTTTTCTGACTTCTTCTTTAACACACTTATAGTTGAAAATTTGTCCCAAAATATTTGACTTGTTGAGAAGTCGATATTTAAGTTAATATTCTATTGAATATTCAAGGCGTTTAAGTTTTTTATGCCTTACTCATTAATATTACTTTCTGACATACAAATCATGGCCTCCTTAGAAAAAACTAATACATAAAATTACGTGTGAAGATATTTCGGTGATACTCCAATCTTTTATGCGCTTGTGAGGCATCACTAGAATGAACATTTTACACTCCTTCCAAAAATCAAAGAATCCAGTAAGGCGGCCTTAAGAAAACTGGAAGTTGAGGCTGTTTGCTGGAAAACAAAAGACGATTGAGTCATGTCATACAAGCTATCTTATTTTTCTTAAAAAATTGTGCGAATAATGTCGCATTTTGACAGCTGTCAAATTAACCCTTTTGGATTTACTGGCAAAAAACAAATTCTACTATGCTCTTCAAATCTTTCGTGTCTACATTTCCTCCGCCTATGTTGCGTAAAAATGACTTAATTTCCTTTTGTGTATGGAACGCGTGCTCCTCCAGCTGCTCCGTTTTCGATACTGGCTGAAATTTAAATTAAAACTTCAATCCGACCTGACAGAATTCATGGTGGCGTGGCGGCAGCAGAGCTACGTCGCACTTTCTCACAAAACGTTTCGAATATTTCAATTCCAGAAACGCTATGCCGCCTTTACCATCCCGTTGTTCATCGGAAACGGCTTCACAAAGGATATTAAAAGAACTCTACTCTTGGATGGGTGGAAATTCATCAGGATGCCAGAATGGTGAAAATCCTGAAAGCAGAAGCTAGCGGGAAGTAACCTTCAGACCGTAAGACGGGCGCCCTTGTTGCTCGACATCAACAAAGCTTTCGGCCCGGACGTGATTTCTCCCGTTTTACTGAAGAGATGTGTAGCGGAACTTGCTTCATTTATTTCACGTCTCTTCCAGATATCTTACGAATCCGGTACTTTCTCAGATAACTGGGAATTTGCTAATGAACCGACCCTTAGAGCTACACAGAATAGGTGCATACATTGGGAGTCTATGTACCTAGTAGTAGTAAAATTTTGTATTATGTTGTGCATTGAAAGTATATCAAAAAATTCCAAGATAGTTAAAATAAATCGTAAAGACCGTCCAAGAAAAAACTGGATAACTGCTGGACTAATTAAATCTATGAATGAAAATAAAAGAGAGATATAAATTATATAAGACAAATCCAACAGACGAAACAAAACAAAATTATTTGTACTATAAAACTAAACTCTGTCATTTGATCAACATTTCAAAACAAAAATATTACACAGAAAAACTACAAAACAGTAAATCCGACTCTGAAATGCTATGGAATACCATAAGTCAGATCTGTAATTCATCCAAACCTGAAACAAAAATTGAAGAAATAAACGTCCATGATACAACACTTAA